GTGTTCACGATGTGTCGCGAAAAGTCGATACGGAATTATTACGATGGAGGTTTCTGCAGGTACAATGGTAACAAAGGGTTTGCTTTCGTTCGTTTTTGGCGCGAAGGTCATGTCGTCGGGGCGGTTCGTGGGATCGGGATTCCAGGACACAGAAGCGGGACTCACGTTTCGATTTCTGTTTGAAATTGGATTGGACCTGCGTATTTTGGGGTCCAATCTGGCATTGTTTGGACCTCAAAATCAGGATGTCCAATCCAATTTCATTTTTTGGATTGGGACTCTGTTCACCGGTGGGGCTGGAAATTGTGCAATACAGTCCAAATTTTGGATTGGACTCGATTTTTTACTACCGGTGTGGACGCTCTAAGCTGGAGTGTCCTTCCACGCCGTCTCGAGTACCGCAGACCGTGAAAGGTGAAGTCGTGTACGTTTGTAATAAATAAAAACTCTAACGCTTAGATACAAACGGTTCCAATCTTGTGCACCGCATACAGAATATTTCCAATGCCGTTCGAGCCGGTCGTTTACGAGCGCGGTGCATGTGACCGGCAACGAACAGTTGCCTCACCGGCGCACCACTAACCTCTAAACGTTATGTGATGATATCTTCGAAACCAAAGCGCCTGTTTAAAATGTCAGCCGGGTATTGCCACTTCATTAGATTCTTATTCTCTCTGTAGATTCACAACTGCTATCTCAATGTTTTGCAAGATGTTATTGCCGAGGGCATGTACGTTAAAGAATTGTCCAAACTGACTTCATAAAGTTTTGATTTAATAAGGTTATCCGTAAAGTCATGAAAACGCGTGTTTTGGTGGCGTGTTTCCTCAAATTTTCTAAACGCAAAATTTTTCAGACAAAGCGTTTGGCAAAACTCACATCGTACCGAAAACTGGGGGCATGTGAGTTTCCACGAGTTTCACGATCCGTCTAATCGCAGCAGTGCCGGATCCACCCGTCTTGAAGGAAATCGAAGTGGGTTTTCCGTTCTTTTCATCAGCACAAACGAGTCAGACTGCATGGGCCGTATCGATATGCGTCATGGACGCCCCTATCGCTTCATCTGCGCAGAGTCCATCAACGGATCAAAGGGCGACAGGATCTGCCACAGATGCCGCCGAGGCAACCGCGAAAGATAGACAAGTAGAAGCTTCTAAAAAGCGGACCTCTCCAAACGGCCCCCCTCAGCCTGGCAAGAAGACGAAACACATCGCCCTTTCGACTGAGAACCGAAAGGTTCAGTATCTATCCTTGTGGCGAGCTACAATATTGGCTTCAGCGAATATTCGCGCAGGTGCACGTGATCTGTCGGGCGGCACAATGTTGTACCAGACTTGCGTTACCAGACTTGCGTTTGTTGCGGGCAGGCACGCTGGTGGAGGTCAGTCCGCAAAACCCGTGGCGGAATTTTTCAATCTCGGGTTTACCTCGTACTTGACGTCCAGCGATTTTGTGGGCATTATCTCAAAAAAGCGCGTTATTTTTGGACAACCTTAGGCCATGCCTGAACTGACATGGCAGCATTGCCATGTCAGTTCAGGATGCATGTACTGTATTCTATACTGTACAAAGCTATGATAAGCTGTGGTTCTCAGGGATCCATTCATACTTGCAAGCAAGTGACAGGCACCTGTCGTAGAACGTGCCACACTCTACATGGAATGACGCAGTGGGACGAAGGACAACGTGCACCCAGAGTCGATCGCCGATGCTATGGCCCAACTTCTATCCAGCTTGTTTTTGGATTACAGCTCATGATTCTTTGGTTCTTCACAAGAAAAGGAAGCTTATGAAGACGGAATATTTGTATTCCTAGAGTCTTCAACTGTCCATCGGAAGGTGAACAGTATTTGAACAAGATTGGTCTCGGTCTAGATTTCAAAATCTGGACCTTCACAAACGCACTCTGTCACTTTGCCCTCAAGGAAAACAAAGAGTGGAACGTGAAAAAGAGTCTAGGTTGAAGCACTTTCTGTATTACAGGGAGAACCAGAGCATACCGAACACTTGTGTTGCACACTCATTCCAAACTGAAAGGCAGTGCGTCATCGAAGGGGATCTCCTCACCATCCGCGTAAACGCCTGCAAAAACCTTAAGCTCCTGGAGCACTTCTCCCTTGGGATTCTCGCCATTTGCAAAGAGTGTATTTCCGCCGTCTGGCCTTCTTTCATAGTAGCTTCCCAACTTGCTATATGCAATGCGATCCTTTTGACTCTCACCCCAATTCGCTCTCGGTGGACGGAGCGGGACGACCAGACTGTCGGCCCCAAACTTGGGCCCTGTTTCGGGTTCATCGACAACAGCCAGTGCGGCACCTCCCACCTTTCTGAGCTTCACCGCCGGTTTGCTAGTGTCTCCATCGGGCCAGGTGAACAAGAAGGCGGCTTTCGAACCTCTGCTTTCGCCGTATCCAACAAAACCTTTGGGGTTGTATCCGCCAAAAACGGCACCAGCCGTGCTCGCCATAACAACAGAGGCCCCTTTTCTATTGAGGGCCTCATGAAAAGTATCTGCAGACCAACCGTCGCGATTGGCGTCGTAGAGCAACTGAATCTCACGGGTCTGCAGCTGTGTGCGCGCTAGTAATGGCCGAAATAAGGCCATTTCTGGGGTGTCCGCGGGAACGGGGTCTGCAAATTCGTCGAGTGTTGCAGGGTAGAGCTCCGGAAATCGGTCGCGGTCAAAGCGCTTCAACCCGAAGGGCTCCGCCTGTTTCGCACCGAATATGGCGGTATACACGCGCTCGACGATGTCCATTTCGCCCTTATTGCTCTCCTTATCTCGGGCGTTTGCGATTGGATGCAGGCGGCGACGATGGGAAAGGGTTTTGGGCGAATGTTGTTGTGGCGATTTGAGAAAGGTGGGATGAGCGTGGCAATAGGTGCTGTGAGAGGGGAGGACTCGCAAAGAGGCCGGTAGTTGGCAGAACGCGGCTAGGTGAGACATGTTGAAGAAATGTGATTTGTGTTTGAATGAGCCGAGGTTGGGTGGGTGAATATCACGAAGAGCCGTTTGTTGAGATGCGGGAATAGAGCAAGGAGTGCAGGTGGTGAGTTGTTTTCTGCATGTGAGAAGGAGTGCATCACATTGAGGTGAAGTCGGGTTGGACACAGATACCGTAATTTTACCAAGTCTACTGCGTAACTTACGAAGGGTATTGGATCCGCTGCGCACCAAGAGATCAAGAGGCAAGTTGAGCACTGCAAATCGTTTCCATCAATCAGGGCCACAAAACATTGCGCACCAATGGCTGAGGTCTGCTGAATGCATTCGTGGTGGTGCCGGTGCAGAAAAAAATCTTTGGTTTTTCTTCGCATGTGGTTGCTTTCGATAATGTTACCGATACTGTACTGTAATTTACGATATGCGCCCACAAAAAGAGCTTATCTCCTCGATTTCTCGCGAGATATACTCTGTACACTGCTGTACACGGTATGCAGTGCATACTATGCACAGCACTGCTGCGGTTATCCCAGCCGCGTACCCGAGTATCCTAGTAGGATAATGAGGGCATCCACCCAAATTCTTTATTTCCCGACTATTCGCTGCCTTCCCCCTGCCCTACAGTATCCTCCGGGCGGTGGCCTCCGGGCGGTGGCCTCCGGGGGTGGCCCTCAAGTATTCTCTCCTCCCCAAGAGAAGCTCTCTCAGCAGAATGCTCTATCCGCTCCCCCTCTATTCCTAACCAAAATCAACATTTAAATTAAAGAAGTACTTCCAGTGCTCCAAATGAGCTCAAACTTGGACAGAGGGTTGGACCCTGCCGGAGGAGACACATGCCTAAGATTCCGATGCTGTACCGAAACGGCACCACAACTGTGGTGAACGCCCTCATTGGCTTAAGCCACCTCAAGGAGCTATCCTACACCGAATTTCGAACCACTGCGCATCAAAAAATTGTATTTGCTTTTAGTTTTTTCGTGGTTACCCATATCCCTGTCTCCCTCGCCTACCCCTCCTTCGTCCGTGTCATTTCGCGTACGTGTACATGTGTATACGTGTACACCTGCACCCGTAGGGACGGCGGAGGGTACTGCCCCTTAAGGGCAGAAGGGGGATAGAAAGATAAAGGGAGGGAGGGGGGGAGGGGAAAACTTGATGTCAAGTTGTCAACAACTTCACACTTCGTCCCTGTCTCCCTCTGTTCCGCCTGACACCTCCCGTTCCCCCCTTTCCTTTCGCCACGCTGCAGTGGCGTCGACTACACTCCCTCGTCCGCCTCTTACGTCGGACTCTCGCGTTTCCGGTTCCCTATCACATGATCATCATGATCATCTGATAGGGAACCGGAAACGCGACCATCATGGTCGCGCGCATCCCCCTTCAGCCTTCCGGTTCGCCGTCCGGTTGTACACGTTGCCACTTGCCGTTCCGCAACAGTACTGTGTGTACCTGTCACCCTTCTCATACTGTACAACACGTGTAAAGGCTATTCAGGTCTCTGGAGAGATGCTGCTCGATGCGTGCGGCGCCCCCTTGCTACGAAGAGAGAAAGAAGTGTGTCGCTTCTTCGCTTTGCAAGTCGCGATGGAGAAGCGTTGCACTACCCGTGTGCTTGTTGTCTCGTCAATCAATGGAGACATCACTCTGTCGACGCGTACGTATCCAGCGCCAGGAGAAACAGTACTGGCGACGCGAAGCGGGCCGACCCTGGGGGGCAAAGGGGCGAATGTGGCGGTAGCAACTGCGCTGAGCGGCATGTCGGGATGCCAGCTAGCTGGTGCCATAGGAAAAGACGGAGAGCCACTTTTAGCAAGGCTTGAATCGCTGGGTGTGGACACGAAGCTGGTGCAGAGACAAGACAAGGAGAATACGGGCACAGCATACGTAATCGTTGACGAGAAAGGCGGCAACAGCATCGTGGTGGTCGCTGGAGCCAACGGGGTGTACCGTGGGGATGAACGGTTGAGAGAAGCAATGCGTGGCGCGGTGGTCGTGCTACAGCTGGAGATCGATGGAGAGGTGACGAGGGCAGTTGCTGCGGAGGCGAAGCAAGTCGGGGCAACGGTAGTGCTGAATCCGAGCCCTGTGCCGGCCGCAGGGAGCGCGTTTTCGCGGGGAGATGAGGCGTGGCGTCTAGTGGACGTGGCTGTTATGAACGAGACTGAGTTTTGGCTATTGAGTGGGAATGGAATGGAAGGGGAGGGGGATATGGAGGAGCGGCTCAAGGAGTTTAAGAAAAGGTGCGCAAAACAGGGCCTTGTAGTGGTGACGCTGGGGGAGAAAGGGGTCAAGTATGTGGACGCGGAGGGCCAAGTGAGAAGCGTGGCGGCGAGCAAGGTGGACAGGGTTGTAGATACGACTGGGGCGGGGGATACGCTCACGGGATACTTGGCGGCGGGGGTGGCGAGCGGTATCAAGTTTGAGGAAGCGTTGAAGCTAGCGGTGGCAGCAGCTGGGTTATGTGTGCAGCGGCGCGGGGCGGCGGAGGCAATTCCGAGCGGGGACGAAGTGCGTAGAAAAATGTAGGGTACGTGCTGTAAGTTTTCGGCAGAACGTGTACGCCGCAGCGACGCGGCGGGTGTGGCGATTGAATGACTGTTTGTGGAGACGCTTGTCAGGATGTGGTTGGAGGTAATGGAGAGTGTGCGACGAGGAGTTGTGTGTCGAGTTGTGTGCACCGTACACGTGAAAATTAATGGAAATCTCACTTCAGTCTGCGAGTCGCTCCCAACCGAAATTGTTTCGGCTTCGTTTCACACCGCAACCGTCCCTCGTGCGTCCGCCGACTTTCGTCGTTTTTAACTGTCATTTTTCAAGCCAGCCGTCAAGAATCACCCCACCACTCCATCCTCCCCTCCCCCTTTCCCCCCCCCCCCCCCCCCCTCTCCGCCATCATTTCCGCTTCCCCTATCTCCACATTCATCCCACTTCCAGCTTTAAAGAGAGTCGTGCCCCGCTAACTCGTACTCATTTATCTGCAGTCTGCACTGTTTGGCTGCACACCTCCAACCGAGGACCCTCATTTACGTCCTTCCCACCCCCGCTCCCCGCTGCAAGGCAAGCAAAGCACAAGGGAGTTGCCTGTCCAGAGCAACGAGTACTGCCCATCTCTTATTTTCATCCCTCCATCCCCTCCTTCTACACGGCTCGGCTTCGTTTGAACCGATCCTGCGCATCCCTCGCTCCTTGCATCTGCTCCGCACTCACGGGCACACATATACAAACCCGCCTTGATTGCCCAGAGCAGCGTAGACTTAAACCCTATAAGCCTTTCCGACCACGGTCCGCTCGTTGAGAGTCACACGAAGCAAGTAGGCACAGGCGTACACGAGTGCATATCGTAACCCACATTGTCGAAAGAAAACGCCTCGTTCCTCAAAACCCTCAAAACCCTCAAAACCGCTCGCTCACACGCACAGAGCATCAGTCTGAAGCTCACTCGTTCGACGGCGTCCTTTCCTGCGTCCGCACACCAGGCTCCACCATTTCTCCCCGCCATACCTCAATATCCGGCCTCTGCAGGTCTGAACGACAGGCCCCTTCCTTTTCAAAGCGAGCCCTAACATCTCAACGTTACCCACCTTTTCCACGGGATCGCCACCCGCGTGCACAACTAATGGCCGACCATCCCACCGATTCCACTGCAATGTCTCAACCTTTGACCAATTCCCCGACGCTGAGCCGCCCACAGCTTGACCTTTCGGCCTGTCAAACCCCACACGTCTCAGCTGAGATACCCCATGCCGTTGCCGATTCCTCCGTTTCCGTGCCTGACCCGTCTCACGGCCGATCGTCACGATCGCAGCCACTTTCCGATCAAAAGCTCACGTACGTTCCAACTGCAGTGTCTTCTGGTGCTGCCGCACGCACAAATATTCCTGTCGATCAATCTGTGTTTGAGAGTCAAGCAAAGCATCCATTGCCTGAAAAGGGCAATGCTGACGCCGTCCTCGCCCCCACAGCCAAACCAACGCCAGGAAACAAGAACGCCGAAACACCCTCTCTCAATTCCAATATCCCTGCACAGAAAATCCGGGAATTCCCTTCACTACCGGATCAACAGAAGGAAGCTGAGCACTGTACGAAAGAGAAAGATTCAGAAACGGCCCTCAACTTGGGAAGCGGACCCCCGCCAGGGTCGCTTGTACAGCAACTCTCGGACAGTTTGTCTACAATTTCCAAGAAAGTCCCAACAGCAAACGACCAATCAACCTCCTCTCCCATTGACCAGAGCACTCATCACTCGACTGTGTCTAGAGGCAAGAATGACTCTTCAAAGACAATATCCCAAGACCCGTCACCGCAGACCTTCAGTCCACCAATTGATGTCTCAGAAGCACTTGCAACGACCTCGCCAATGGATGTTGATATCGCTATGTCGAAGGCGGATGTCCAATCGACGGAAGAAGACCAGCACACATCAGGACCTCAGAAGATTGCTCCACAATCTAAAGTTGAGGGAACGGAACGGTACGTCCATCTTTAGACAGCTCTTCAAGGCGGTTCCATCTTGCTTTTAAGTTTTACACGAAACTAACCCCACGGATTGCATATTCATTTATTTTTTACTGCACTTACGAATGCGCAGGTTTGAAAAGCGTCCACTTGAAGAGACCAGAACTGCAGTGCCTGAAGATCGCCAAGATGGCGCTGGTACCAAAGAAGAGCCAGGCACGAAGCGACAAAAGGTCGATGAGGACAGCAGGGAAAAAGCTAAAACTGGCACCAACTCTGATGCGAGCCCTGAGGGACTGACTGACTGGAAGCCGCAGGGTGGGGCACCTGCAGAGACTGAAAAGACAGAAGGATCGATAGCTGGCGGCCGACGCGATGCAATTCACAGCAAGCCTGTACTTCGCGCGGCTCCCACACCCGTCGTCAGTATGCTGCCAATGCTGCGAAGTAGTCTAGTGGGCGTGGATAGCGACGCTGCGGGGGGTAGGAAAACGACGACGACAAGAGGGCCTGAAAGGAATAGCGCAAAACGGAAATTGAAACCGGAGACCGCTGATGATGTGCGACCAAAGAAAAGAAAAACAGTATCATGGGCACCACAGGAGAAGCTCGTCGATGTCCAGCATATTGATACTCGTCTTGAGCTGATACGATCTTGGGATCCAGAATTTGAGATAACGTTGCCATTTGGTCCTGCAACACTACAAATGTTCAAATCCATGTCTGAAGAACAGCGAAAGACAGAAGGACATGATCAAGGTGTGGGTCGCGATGGCGGCGGGGTTTCTGTGCTGGGTGGTGGATGTATGACGGCATTTGAAGCGGCGCGAAAGAAGGAGCATGACATGGAACTGGACAGGGCACAAAAAGCTCGGGAAGAGCTGAACAAGAAATTGAACATGATGGGTGCAGTGCATACTTGGCGCAAGCCGACCGCAATCGTTTTACCTGCAGAATGCCGCATTGATGCTGATGGGATCGAGCAGTATGATTTGGGGGACGAGGCTGGCTCTTCGATGACGAGAGATGCTAACGCTCAGACTCCTCCATCACCGCTGATGGGTTTCAACACTGGGAGGGACAGCATGGAACCTAATGACTCGCGGGTGCACTTGTTCCCACTTTCAGACGCTTCCGTGGAGACTGGGGAAAGCGCGGTCAGTAGCACAGAGAACACGATGAGGGTAGACCAAGAAGGCGAGCGGGAAGGTTTAGAAGAGAAGTATTATCGAGGCAATGGTGGAAAGTTTGACAGTGGACGAAATAATGGTGTGGTACGAACGGGACATCATGGAAACGAAATGGGAGAATTTGGGATGGGAAGACATGAGGCTCACATGGGGGATGGCAGCGGCGGATTCAAAGGAGGGATTGCAGGAATGGGAGGGGTGGGAGGAATGGGAGGAATGGGAGGGTTGCCAGGCAAAGACCGCACTCATCTACCGCCACACGCTGTTCAACATTTGCTCTCTGCGTTGCAGTCGACTGGGTTATTAAGTCAAACTAACAACGGACACCAGGACAGAAATATGGGTGGAAAGTATGGGGGAGGCGGGATGGGAAATGACCGAGGAGTACCTGGAGAACCATACCGACCTCGGCAGGATTCTGGCGGGCCAGGAATGGACGTGACGATGAACGACGCAAACGCGAACGGGGGTCGGTACGGAGAAGACGAACGTCGACGTATGCACGGGCCGGAGAACGGGATGGGTATGGTAAACGGGGCTGTAGGCCCACCGGGGCCGGGGCCGGCACCAGTGGCGCCGCCGCCCCCCCCTCCACCGCCCGGGGCGATATTAGGTCACGGCGGACCGCTCGGAGGCGGGTTCCATCAAGGAGTTCAAGGCGGAATGATGGATGGGTTTCCATTTCCGATGCCGCCAATGCCTCCGCCACCCATGGGGATGCATCCCAACCTAATGGCACTGGGGATGGGACTAGGGATGCCTGGGATGGGGATCAGGATGCCGTTTAACATGGGCGGTGCAGGGATGGGCATGGGAGGTGGGAAAGGCGGGGGCAAGTCTGGAGCTGGACGCGGACGGGAAGCTGAGACGATAACGAGACCTAAGATGAAGGGACCCAAGCAACGGAAGAAATGCAAGTACTTTGGAACAAAGCAAGGATGTCGGGACGGGAGTTCGTGTATGTTTGCGCACATTTCCTAAGTTTACGTGTAGTAGTGTTCAGTGTACAGTGTGTAGCTGTATGAGGAGGATTGTGTATTGATGTTTTATTGTTTTTTTGGGGGGGTCGAGGTGGGGGGGGGGAGGAAGGGATACGTAGGGGGTACGTAGGGGTATTTACTAAATGTGCAACACACAAGATAGACGAGGTGTTAATCGAACGCAAAGTTGAAGAGGTCAGAGCGCTACAGTATCGATGTCGTCGAAAACATCGCTACCGACGTCAACGAGGGGCACACACACATCGTTGTACAGTGGCCCTTCCGCATTAGTGCCGCTTTTGTTTGTGCCACCCTTCCAATAGTGCAGGCATGGGACGCACGAACACGAAAGTGCCACGTGTCATACGGTTCTAGCTGTTTCGCTGCCGTCCGTACGTGTCAAACATGTTCTGTAAGAGCCGCTTCCTAATCGGATCCTCTTCATGCCACCGAACAGCGTTCACGGATCTTAGCTTGTGCTCGTTATGACTCTGGTTCATGGAAAAAAAGCGTCGCCCAAGCGCTTGACCATTTCGCAGAAGCTCGAATTCGCAGATCCACAATGGACACCGTACACCAGCAGTTATGCGACAATTCGGCATTGCAGAGCGCACTGTACGCAAAATCAAAGCAACTGCTCCAGCATTGCTCCGCGTAGCAAGCGAGAAGCGCAAATCACTCCAAATAAATGCAATAGAGAGAAAGACTGTACCCCATGTCGTCGGGATGGCGAAATTGTTTGGAGAGCTGGAACTTTTGGCGACTGAGTGCCAAGTTCCAGACGCTCTATCGCATCTAAGGTCAGCAAAGCGCGCATTTCTGCACTGCGAAACTCAGAGACAGAGAACCAACACAGAGCAGGCAGGCAATGATTACAGAGTGTATGCAGATAAGTGTATGCAGATAGATGTGACGACGTCACTTACTAATGCCGTCTCCCAATAGTGCACATTTTTGGGGTTTCGTACGGGGCGACACTAATGCGTAGGGGCTACTGTACCATCGATTACAGTACTGTAGGATGAAAGGTTTCTACATCACTGCTAGGAGTCCTAGGCTAGGACTCCTAGCCTGGGACACCGCCCTGTCTTTAAAAATAAAGTTCCTCCATTTCGATTGCCGTAGAGGGAGGAGGTATTGAGTACAGCAGTGCAGGGCGTAAAGAATAACTGTACAGTACCATGTTATGGTACGATCCACTCCTGAAGCTGCACGTAGGACAACGTGTACAATATAGCAATCGAAAACGTGTACCCGTTGTACACATCACCTTGATGCCTACAACGGGGTACACGGCAAGTAATTCGAAAATTTTGGCGGGAGGGTTTTGAATGAGGTGCCTGCCGTGCCTGCGGGAGTAGATGGCAGGGAGCCGTCTGCCCCGCGGCTCTCCCGCGGCTCTCCGCCATCAGCCAACCTCCCCTCCCCCTCCCTGTCCCTCTCGTTTTAAACCTCACTTTTGGCGCGCTTTACCTTGCACCTGCCTTTCCTCTACCCGTTAGGGACCCTAAACGGACAAACTTTCCCGCGCAACCACAACACCACATGCATCCCGCAACCCTGTCCTCACACAATCCCCCTTGCTATTTAAACCCGCTTCCTCCTCCGTCACCAACCCCGCCCAAGACCGCGAGACACCTACCCACTCCCTCCCACTCCACTCCATTCACAACTCAACCATGGCCTCCCTCAGTCCCACCACCGTCCGCCATCCGAACTCCTCGCCGCACTCCTCGCCTAAAGTAGAAAAGCCGCTCTCCGCCACCCCTGATTTCGCATCCAACGTCACCGACCTCTCCTCTGACCGCTCCGATGACCTGGAGAACAAGGCCCTCATCTCCCGAGTCCCCGACGTCTTCACCGCTCATGCGGCCGACAGATACACCTTGTTTCCCATCCGCCACCCGGCCATTTGGGAGCTGTACAAGAAGCATCAGGCAGCCTTCTGGACGGCGGAGGAGATTGACTTGTCCGCCGACATGTCAGACTGGAACTCGCTCATTATTTTAATCTCTGACGGTGCAGGTCGAGTTGGAGGCATTGTGCAACAAAAATTAAGAGATTGGTTACACCGCTATAACATTACGCTTTATTGGATTGTACTGCGTCAACCTGGTGGAGTCAGTATTTTCGACCCGAAATATGAAAACTGGAAAGAAGAAAAGGCGCTCCCTGTTGTTGGACACATACATCAGAGACCCGGTGGAGAAGCAGCGATTGTTCAGGGCCATCGAAGAGATTCCCTGTGTCGCTCGCAAGGCCGATTGGGCCATTCGCTGGATTTCCTCACAGGGCTCGTTCGCAGAGCGACTCGTGGCCTTTGCCGCCGTGGAGGGCATTTTCTTCTCGGGCTCTTTTTGCGCCATTTTCTACCTCAAGAAGCGTGGCTTGATGCCGGGCCTCACCTTCTCTAACGAACTCATCTCTCGTGACGAAGGGTTGCATTGCGACCACGCCTGTCTGCTCTATTCGATGATTCCCAAGGAGCAGCAGCTGTCCGAGCAGCGCATCCACGAGATCATTTGTGACGCCGTCGAGTGCGAAAAGGAGTTTGTGTCCGAGTCGCTGCCTGTCGATTTGATCGGCATGAACTCGGAGATGATGAAGGAGTACATTTCATACTGCGCCGATCGCTTGTTGCTGTCGCTTGGATATTCTAAGGTTTACGGGGCAAGCCAGCCGTTTGACTGGATGGAGCTTATCTCGATTCAGGGTAAGACCAACTTTTTTGAGCGGCGGGTAGGAGAGTATCAGAAAGCCGGCGTTACGTCGAGTCGGACAGATAACACTTTCGCCCTCGATTGCGACTTTTAACACCTTTTAGAACAGTCCTCGCTGATTTTCTCTTTTTTTCGGCTTGCAGCTGAGCGCACCTCGCGTGCAACACATGTATAAACTAAACCGTTGAGAATTGACCGTGCCTCCTGAGCTCCCCTCGCTAAAAACACATATCGCTGATTTCATTGTTTCACTGCTGTCTGATCTGAAAATTCCTCCTCCCGCAACCTGTTGCCACTAACCAGCCTGGGTCCCATCCTCCCCTCAATGCTCCTTCCTTTGGTCTCCCCCTCCCCCTCCGCCGTACCCGTCTGAACATTTCGTCTGCTTGGTTGTCCGCCAACCACCTGCTTTTTCTGTTCCTCAAACACTCCCTTCGCTATGACTCGGTTTTTCCGCCCCTTCTACCTTGCCTTTTCCAGCGCCGTTCCCCTCGCCCTCTTTCGCTCCACAGCTGCTACCCGACACCGCCGACCATTCACCTCTCCGTCTCGCTTCTGTGCGGCCGCCCGTACATCCCAGGGAAGCACTCCACCTACCATGTCCGTGCCCAGTGTCGCGTCGCCCGCTCAAGAGATTTCAGGTCCAACCTGGCAGCTCGAGTACACCGCCCTGGATGACCGCACTCTGCTCGACGATCTTGCCATCGCGAAACGCGACATGGACGAAATGGAACGCACGGGCTCTACCCTGGCCGATCTAGTACCTCTCGCCAGAGAGCTTACGGACGACCAGATCACTCAGCATGACATCCGAGCCAAGCTGTTGGCGATGTTTCGCAGCTACTGGAACGCCGTCGTCTTGCTGAGAAATGTTAGCACATACGCGAGCTGCGTTGCCTCTGTCGACGGAACAAATGCAGAGGCAAAGAAACTCGCCGGCCAGATTCAGGTCCTGTTTGCGCGTGCCCGCACGGCCTACGAGCCGGCTGCTTTGATACTGGACTTGTGCCCCGACGCGCTTTTCAACGACTTTTTGGCCGCGAACGAGGAGACGCGCGCTGCCGAGTTTCTGTTGTCTCATTCAAGAAAGATGGCGCGCCATCGCTTGTCCCTGCAGGAAGAGAATATGGTCACAAAACTGTCCGTGACAGGGCACTCTGCGTGGGGAAGTCTTTACACGGACCTGTCTACGGTGCTGCCTGTGAATGTGCGGGATGCAGATGGATCTGTCAAGGAGATGGGCATTGCAAGTGCGGAGGCCATGCGCGATAGCCCAGACGAGGAGGTTCGGCGCGCTTCGTGGGAGGGGATCCGCGAAGCATGGCTTCCGCACCAAGAAACGTGTGCTGCCGTGCTGAATGCGATCACGGGGTGGAGATTGGACATGTACGAAAAACGCAAGTTTGATTCGTTCCTGACGTCGTCATTGCACAGCAATAGAATGTCGAACGCGACGCTAGCTGCCTTGCTAAAGTCGTTGGATTCGAGCGTGGAGGTGGGTCGTCGAGCTCTGGCGATTCAGGCCAAAGTTCTGAAGAAGGATGCGCTCGAGCCATGGGATTTATTTGCCCCAGCGCCTTTGGCGGGTACTCACACCGGAAAAATGTATACGTTTGATGAGGGGATTGAACTTATCGCTGATGCTGTAGGGGCGGTGGATGAGTCGGCGGGAAAGTTTGTTCGCATTATGAAAGAAAACGGATGGATTGAAGCATCAAGAGGCGATAAGAAAAGACCTGGGGCGTAAGTTGACACCAATTTGCAATGCATGCAAAGTGAGAGAACAGTCTCGCAAAAGCTTATGAACTTGAGACTCGCGTCTCGTGTTGCATGGATTTTCAGACTGCAACCAAGGTATTCTAACATGTGACCGACTTTCATATGCGCGTTTCAATGCGATTCTCCCATGCGTTTGGAGTGCAGGTATTGCACGGGCTTTGCGAAGAGCCGAACACCAAGGGTCTACCTGAGCGATTACAACGGACGCGCACAGCTTTTGCTGACCCTGAGTCACGAGCTTGGGCATGCGTTCCACACATGGCAGATGCGAGACTTGCCAGAAACCCAGCTCTCTTATCCTATGAATTTGGCAGAAACGGCTAGCATCTTTTTCGAAACAGTCGTCGGTAACGCGCTGCTGGAGAAGGCAGAGACTTTGGAAGAAAAGTTTAGTATCCTGTGGGGCGAGGCTGAGAGCGCAGCAACGTTTCTGTTGAATATTCCTGCTCGATTTAGGTTCGAAGAAGAGTTGAACATTCGTCGAAAGGATGGCAAGCTTGCTGTATCTGAAATAGATGAGATGATGATCAACGCGTGGGAGAGGTACTACGGAGATGCGCTCAGTTCCAAAGAGAGGGTGGGCGTGTTTTCCCAGAGCAAGTTGCACTTTTACCTAACAGGAATTTCTTTCTACAATTGGCCATACAGCTTTGGGTATCTCTTTGCGCTCGGGGTTTACGCCGAATACGAGCGCACAGAAGACCCAAAACTGTTTCCTCGCATATACAGTGATTTGCTGAGGGACACAGGGCGGATGAACGCCGAAGCCGTTGTCCAGAAACATCTCCATAGCCGTATTGACGAAGACCAGTTTTGGCTTAACGCAATTGCGGTGGCAGAGCGGAAGCTCATCCAGTTGGAAGAGGTTGCTTCAAAGCTGCACTCACAATAAAACATGAACAAGGCCCACCGTACGTAAAGTAAAGTGTCTGTAGAGTGTGTAGTAAAAACGGGACTCGAGAGCTTTCACACGGAGTCTTTTGCATTCAGCTCCTCAAACTCCGTACTCACTACGTTGAAAGTGTTCGTACAACGTCTTTGTCTCTTCCGAATAGTGTCTCGCGAAGGCCATGAAACCGCCCTCTAAAAGCAGAACGTCGGGGATTGTACCGATAGCGTGCCGCTCAGCAGCATCGTCCAAAGACTTTGCAAACGCCGATGCGCAAGACGGTCCTCGTCTCTGGCTCATCATACAATGAAAGACAACGGCCTCATTCGACTGCAACTCTATGAGTAAGCTCGGAAGCCTGCGTCGAAAGTCATGCGAAGGGACATGAATCGAGCCCTTGATGTGCCCGCCAGCACGGTCGTCGTCTCGCACGTCGACGACAGCCAGGGGCGCCCCTTCTTGCAGCTTGGATATTAGACGTCCTGAGGATATGGTCGCTATCGGTCGCATTTTGGCGGAGGGCGGCTTGATTGGACGGTCAGATGTGGCGTTCTTCGGGGAACTGAGAGGATGGTGAATGTACTTGTGGATCTAGAACGCTAAACGGCAAGTCGACGCCCTTTGCCTTAGCGTAAAGAAGCTGCTCCAGTGTCTTCAGATACAGTGCTGGCCAAAATGATAGGGACACAGGCTATTCGCACTGTGGCAGCCCCCTTTTGCTCCAATGATAAAAGAGAAGAGGCTCCGCACACGTATTGGGAGAGCTAAACGTGATAGAAAAACGGTTTTATAGAACAAAAAACAGCCTCGGATCTATAAGGCAAAACGTGTTTACGGCATGGCCATAATGATAGGGACAAGACCTCTACCCCATTATCTGGACCCCATGTATGCGCAATACTCACCTCAGTACTTCGTAGCACCTCCCTTGGCAAGGTAACAGACCCTGCAGCGTCGTTGCATGGTCCCCAAAAGATTTCGATTTCAGTGTGTCCGTTGTGATGTTATCCCAGGCTTCCCAAACGGCCTCTTTAAGCTCTTCGACGTTGTCAAGTTGACGACAACCAGCGTATACAGCACGTGCCAACAGACCCCAGAGATTCTCTATAGGATTGAAGTCCAGGGACTTTGGCGGCCAGTCCATAACCGGCACCTCTTCCTCGTCAAAAACCTGCCTGACCCGATGTGCCCTGTGAATAGAAGCTCCGTCATGCATGTATATCCATCCTGCGTCCAGCTCCTGATCAATAAACGGTAGCAAATAACTTTCTAATGTCAGTATGTAGTCCTCTGCGTTCTGATTTCCTTCGAGCAACACCAATTCGCATTTCTTCGTCCCACAAAAAGCCCCCAAGACATGACCGAATTCGCACCTCCTTGCCTTCACAAGAATATGCGCTTGTCTTTCCTCAGGTCGTTCCAATAGAAGGCGAAGCCATCTGGTCCGTCGAGATTGAACTTTTTCTCGTCGGACCAGATGACTTTATACCAATCTGCAGGACACCATGTCAGCTTCTCGCTCGCAAAATTTTCACGAGCGACAAGATGACGGGGCAGCATCATTGGATCCGACACCATCTTCTTGAATTGGAAGTTCGGGTCGTTGTGCAGCGTGCGGCGGATTGACCATGAGACAACAGAGAGTCCCAGCTCCTGACCAAGCGTGTTAGAGCCTTTTGTTTCATTTGAAGCAGCCCGAAGTAACCTTCTCTCGTCGGTGGGAGATAGTTTTTGCGGTCTTCCTGGCGATTTTTTTCTCCCATATTCCAACGGCGCGCGCAGCAAGTTAGAAACTACGTTCTCGGAGCGCTGCACATTAGCAGGGATGTCTCGAATGGTTTTATCGCCTTGAGAAAGACCAGTGCTAAGCCCCTTTTCGCGCCCGTTCAGGATTTTGCCTCCTCCCATTTCTCCGAGCTACCAACCGACTGTTTTCTGCATAACCATCTGCAGACCCCTCGAGTGTAGCCTTAGCATGGATTTTACGCCTTTCGGTGGAACGCAGTTTGCATTTTGCGCCAAAACGCGAGTTAGTTCCTGTTGTGCCTATCATCATGGCCATGCTGTAAACACGTTTTTGCCTTATAGCTCCAAGGCTTTTTTATTCTATAAAACCGTCTTTTCCATCACGTTTAGCTCGCCCAATACGTGTACAGAGCCTCTTTCCTTCTATCATTGGAGCTGCCACAGCGCGAATAGACTGTGTCCCTATCATTTTGGCCAGCACTGTATTGTGCCTTTCCGCTCTCAACGGAAATGAGATCTAAATAGCTTCAATGTGGCAACTGGGCTTGAAATCAATCAGCTGCAATGGTGGATTAGCACAGTGCACTACAAAACTATCGCCGGCATACGGGTTTTTTAATAGAAATTCCTTACGTGCCCCTTTTTATTTGGGAATGTTTGTTACGTGCCCCTTTTATAAGCCCCTTTATATAAGGCCCTTTCCTTGGGGGCGCTAGAGTGATGAAAAGGTGAAGAGGGCGTCGTCGGAATGAGTTTGATCAAAGGGAGCACGTTCCCTGACAAGCACAGCATCTTGATGGCATCCTTAGCCCTGTGCGCCACCGTGGGCCGATCTCACAAGGTAAAAAAGTCACACTCTGGGCGCCTACGTATACAGTGCCCCTCCCAGGAGTGCTCACACACTTTCAACGCCCAACTAGACTGCAGGGCCTTGTGGAAAGTGGGAAAACTCAATCTCACTCACTCCTGCGACGCTATAAAGGAGAAACGTAAGCGCAAGCCCCTAGCCGTGTGCTATTGTTTGATAATTTACGCGAGCGGCATGCGAAAGTCCCGGAGGCTGCACACTGGAATCATCTGGACACAAAGTGGGCATCAACTGTTTTTCATCATGCAACACTCCAAAGCCAGTACGATGCTGCTGCTGCTCTTGCCTCTCAAGTAAACATCAACGTGGACTTGCAGATGCTGCCTATTGCCAGACAGATGAGCGCGTGGAGAGTTCTGAGTCAGGCAGGTCGGCCGAAGAAACGAAGGTATTGTGGAATCACCATGTCATCCCTCATCCCATCTCAGTTCCAACATAAATAGTGATCCTCGAATTATCGTCATCCCCTCCCCCAAAAATTGTTACCTCACTTCTTCTCGACGTTCGTTTTTTCCCGAAACCTACACTAGTTGGAAACTCTCCCTCTCGACACATCCCCAATTACCAGCAACATCTTTCTCTCACAAATATACTCCCTGCTTTATGAATTCAGATCATCCACAGCTGATCCGCATCTTGCCACCACTTCCTCTCCTTCATCCTTCTCAGTTCCAACATCAGCATTGATCCTCGAATCTTCCCTCGCAAAAACACTCCCTTGCTGTCGAAGGAGTTGGTCAGTTTTCTTCCCGTCTAAAGCCTCTTTCGAAATGTGATTGAACACACCTTATCCTCGCTCTAACGTCTTGGATAAAATTCTCCTCACTCGCTGCCCCACCGATAAGGAAGCTACAAAGTTGGACTGTCGCGAAAACGTGTACTTACCGCAAAACCACATGGGTTGCTCAGAGTTTGGAGTCGTTGATATGAAAAAGGCGATCTGAGGGACATGCGATCTCGTGAGTGCTGTAAAAGGGGATCTGGCAAACCGTCGTTTGCTTCGAAAGAGGTTGAGGAACAAGTGAGATTTGAGACGTGAAGGCGCGATGCCCCGCCGTGGTGTTCCCAGGTATGTTTCCAGGGAACTACATCACGATTGGGTTGTCATCGCCCGTTTAAAGAGATATATGTATTGGCACTAAACGATTATTATTGGTCAGCCTTTGAAGGTTGTGCAATGATTGGATGTCCCAAAAAACCGGCTTCTGAAATTTACAATCTTTGCCGTTGGCGAGCACCAGCTTGTGCCCTCCACACCCCACCTCGTCTTTCGGCCTGCTCAGAACCCCTACTTAAATACCTCGCATTGCCTACACTCTGGCATGAATTCACTTTTCACGTCGGTTCGTCCCATCCGTCCGCCTCATATAGCGGAGGACGTATGTGAGGGGGATGCAATTGAGGTGCTTTGGATCGTCGAGATACCTCGGCGGGATGATCGGAAACGAAGGAAAACTGTCGAAAAAGATGTCTGGTGGAAGGCTGTCCTGGAGAAGGTATATTGTAATGGCGGTGTCACCAGAGCACGGGTTCACTATGAGCAAGCATATGGGATGGAAGCCTCTTTCATGGACGCTCGACTCATTGGATCTGTTTTGTGCCACGACGGTACTGGGCGCCAAAAAATGGCACACAGCCGTGGCGGATGTGTCTCTTGGCTCTTTCGGAATCAGGAAATAATACTGAAGCCGATTCCGTGCAGCAGTTATCAAATCATTCATCTGGTTCGGAGTACAAGCCATGCACCGGACATATGAAGGAATCGGGCAGAAGACGGAGATCGATGGTTCTATCATTTGATCCACCGAAGGGCGAAGCGGAGGAAAAAATTAGTACTTTAGAAGTCAAGCTTGAGGAGCTTCAGAGGATCGTGGGAGCTCAGAGTGCAATGTACTCTCGTATTGTAGGCTCATGGAGTGAGAGCGATAAGGTTTCTGACCGAATATTCAGTTACTTAAGACACAGAATTGTTGTTAGTTCTCACAAGCCTATCGTTTTCTCCCGTACTCGCTCAGCTATATGTGACGTACATGAGAGAGAAGGACGCTTTGTTGGCATGTGTTACACTTCCTTAATCAAAGCGGAAGCGGACTGTAGCCTAGAAGATTTTGAGCGGATTGCCAGGGTAATCAAATCGAGATGTTCTAATGCAGTGTTCCAACCGGCTTTCGTAGAAACACAATCACCAATGCTAAGTTTGGAACATGCACTGGTTGCTTTTAACACCTTGCATGAATTAGCGTCATGTATTGGCATTTCGGGGTACTCTGATCCACTTTCTCTTCTTTTAAAGGGTAGAAAAATGAACGCGCCTGACCCAGCGCAACTGCCGGAGGATTGCACATTAAGACTTATTGGGGCAACTTTGGCCGAAAAGAATGAAGACGATCATCCATTTGCTTTCCGTGTTGCCGGAAGCCTGCACCACTCCCTTCCCAATCAGATTTGTAACTTGCTTTGGAGGGAGACGACGCAATTCGATACACGGAACTGAAGATACTTAAACATGCTTTGCAAGAAGAATGTGCCCATTATGGGTGCCATAAGAAAATCAGGTTTGGAAATGATCGCTGAAAAAGAACCATACACATCAGACCACACACGTTTTACATTAAGCTGGGCTCCTCTCTCCAACCGTAAAGGTCGAAACTTTTCGAGGTCGCTGCGGCAAAACGACGAGGTCTTGGGTTCCTTGAAGATGGTTTGACCCGCTCTTGTCGTACGCAACAAGAAAGTAGTATCTGAATTTCAGAATACCATAACACAGAACATGTTGAAGAGAAGCATAGAAACGGGTGTGTACAAATGACCTAGTATCTTGAGATGGGACGATGTGTAACACGAAGTGCACCACAGCTCTCCAGCATTGCAGCTCTGTACGGAGAATTTCAGTGCA